TGTACCTCTGGTGCAAATTACTGACCTCTGTCATCATTTTAAGTGGGGGAACTTGCACAATCGGTGGCTGACTAAATACTTTTTTGCCCCACTGTATGTGGTTAAACTTCTTCACACTGATAGAAAGGGGAAGTTCAGTGGTCCAGCGCCTTGAAGATCAAAGTGGACTGTATTTGACCCCTAATATGAAATAAGTTTGACATTCCCGGTGTAAAGGTTGAAGCCCCTCAGTATTAACGCCCCACCCTTTGAGCCAGCTTTCTTCTTATTGGCTGCCCCACAAAAACAAACAGTTTGAACAGCAGGTGGCTGCTGTGCATCCACAAAATGGCTACTTTTCATTTTTAGTCCCCGATCAGACAAAAACAACAACTAAGAACACAGACGTACACACCTGATTGCAATTCAGTAGCGCACTTCTATATTTCCCACATTCCCACACACATTTGACAAGAATTCAATTTGCAGTCATGAAAAATTTATGAAGTCCTCAAAGCAAAATAGGATCAAACCTGGGACTAGTAGTATGCACCTAACAGAGTGTCTTGTTAGTGTAGCTTTAAGAGTGGCACGCCACATAAATGACTTTCCACTGAGACTGTGTGGGCTTAGCTGGAACATCTTCCTGACTGTCGTCCGCTGGCAATATTGACTGCATTTCAAATGGAAACATGCCACAATATGACTCTACACGAGACAAGACAGATTTTATTAAAGAGCCATTAAAGGTCAAAGCTCCACTACGTGAGGTTCAATTTGGATTTAAAGACCTGAGATTTGGTATTGAGATTTTTTTTTTTTTCAAAGAATTTCCGAAATTTGATTATGAAACGTCTCAAATTTCAACAACAAAGCTACTTTCAGCTGCTCCCTTATTTACAAGGGCTTGCCACAGCAGGTAGCTCCACCATGTTTGATTTGGCAGAGTTTTTTATATTGAATGAAATCCTGTCTGTTCCCAGGATCTAACTGAGATCTTTTGCTTTTTGCTAGCCAGATGTGTATAGATGATGTGCACGTGTAAACAGTGTGATGTGAAAATAGCACTTGAGCCCATAAAATGATCAGGAATGTTTGAACCATGGTCGCTGATGAAAGGAGCTGAGGGGTCTTTTTTCTAACCTAGACTTCTATGCAATTTTTGCAACTAAAGCAGTCGCCCCCTGCTGGTCATTAAGGATACCTTCGGTTGGCTTAACTCTTCAGATTTTGACTCTGGTATACAGTCTGTTATTTATATGTCAATCAACATTCCCTCGCTGACATCTACATTTAGATTAAAGGAATTTAATCTGCTCAGGAACGTGGAGCACAATCTTCCCCTTAGGTGTTTGCAAACCTCACACAGAAATTGTTAAAGATTACGTTTGTTCACGGGATGTTTTAAAATGTGTTTTTATTATTCTCTGGAAAAATAAAATCATAAATCTTTTTCTATCTAAATGTGAAATGACTGGTTAACTTGAGCTGTTCAAGTCCAGCCCGACTTCCTTTGAGACTGAAAAATTCCTCCTGATTGTAATGACTGGGGTTTTTTTTGTTTTTGTTTTTTTACTGTGTTAGTTTGGTGTCTTTTGCTCACTGCAGCTTCCTTCCCCACCTGCTAACTTTCCATCAGAGAGATGCATACGCACTCGTAGGCGATCACACTCCTGACACCCATTTTGGGAAGCACACACTACTTTTAACATAATTGTCTCATTGTCTGAGTCAAGCCAGTCCTCCCACCATGAAACAAAGATGTAGAAGGCAACAGCCGTCTCCACCGAGCCAGGTGTTACGCAGGGCTCCATTCTGGGTGCTGTTTTTTCTTTCTTTCTTTTTTTTTTTTTACTCATTCTTTCTTGTTGTGTATCTGTTTGTGTGTGTGTGTGTGTTTGTGAGTGCATGTGCGTGTGTGTCTGGGTGTAATAGCTCTAAGGACGGTGTGTCCGCGTGCAGCTGCCCGCTGAGGGCCCTCCTTTGTGTCCCCCTCCCCTCTATTGTCAACTCATGCCTTCTCGTCCATTCATGGCTGATGGTCGGCGGATGGTCTGGTGATGTGTGCGTGTGTCTGTGAGGTTTGGGAGGGGTTGGGAAGGGGTGGAGTTACCCTACTACATCTCACAGTCCCTTTTTTATTGGTGGAGAGGGGGGTGATTGGCGTGTGTACAGAAGGAGATTTGGTGAAGAGAGGAAAGTGAGCTGTGTGAGGAGATTTCTGTGCTCGTATTGGTGGGCAGACTCACAGTGAGGAGGGGACGGTAGGTGCCTTAAACTCCATCTGCTGTCAGTAACACTGCTAGCCCTGCAGCTTCAGGACACATCACTTTGCTTTGCAACAACAAAAAGAAAAAAAAAGGAGAACTTCATGGTTGATCACTTAAGACTGCTGCCAGACTCGACCAGGGAACTCATTTTTTGCTCAGCCCCACTTGGACTGGCTGCTTTCTCCAGTTCTCTAGTGGATACAAGACATTTAACTTCCTTTTTTTCCATTAAAAGGAAATCGGGCCATACTCCTGGGCTTAGTCCTCACCACTTTACTGGGTCATTTTCTTTTTTTAAACCTTTCCCACTTTGAGCTTTGTTGCTGATATGATCCAGAGTAGCATGTCAGGAGACACTTTGTAGGAGTTCTCGGTTCTTCTGTGCTTTACTGCCTTGCTGTTTCTCGGGGAACTGTTCGGTAAGTCTTACCAATTTACTTTTGTGCGTTTAGCTTGGATTCGCGTTTGCCCGTTAAAGACGCTGATAACACTGCTGTCATACTTCATCCTGGATTATCTGCAGTATTTTGATGTTTTTTTCACTCTTTTTTTTTTATCATGAAATCTCTGTAACCATATAACCTAATGATAAACATATGTGACCAGTGAACAGACGTGCTGTAATACTACAACAGTTAAAGCTGCACAGTCTTTGTTGATGTAACGCTCAGACGGGGACATTTATAGACAAATAATACCTGTTAGTTACTGAGTGCGATTTTTAGAACAGCGCAGTTCACTCTGGAAGGTTGTCGTATACATAAGCATCGCAGTCTGAGCTCACAAGTGAAATTAAGACAAGGCTGTTTGTGGTTTTAAATCGGGGCTCTTTGGGGGATTCCTCGGGTTTCCCCCCTCGACGGGTCATTGGTTAGGTTTCACTTCAATTAAATTAATGTAAACAAATTATAGATTATCATATGTGCTGACGAACGTTAGCAGGGTCTAATGGCCTTCAGTTGAGCAGCGAGGGAGGCAGACTCAGACTCTGCACAGCTTAGAGGTGAAACCGAGTGCTGCCCACTACCAAAAAAAGCCACATGACAGACAGTGGTGATATGTATCAATGAAGATGAATCTGGACACCACCAGTTGCAGTCAGGGAGGGTGTAGGAACAGGATGCTTTCAGGGAGGTCCCCTGTGGCTTCAGCAGGCATCTGTTGTCCCCACCACCACTCCCCCCAATCCTATATGCACCCCCACACCCACTCTCCGCACCCTCTTTGTCCCCCTCCCAGCCGGTCGCTGGCGTGGCAGACTGGGTCACTGCTGTACTCAGCCGGCAAATGGCAGCCATGCGGTGGCCCTGAGGGACTGGTCGGGGTCTTTCCTCAGGGGAGCTCATCCTTCTACCCCACACCCAAGGGGGCTAACCCGGGATCACAACACATATAATGATACGCACAGACCACTGTCAAGATGGGCAGGGTAGGTCAACGAAGTGCAGACTGCAACATCTGCTCAGTATGGAAAGACTCTCAGCTTCCCCTCGACGAAACACTGACTCACCGAAGTTTGGTAGACAAGTTATTCTTTCCAATAAAATACACACTCAAAATTAAAACTCATGGTAGCTGACGGTTTGTGAGACTCTTTCTTTATTTATTTTATCCAAAGGGACTTAAAGGATCGTTACAGTTCTTCAAGATTTTGATGCATGTAATTAAGTTTTTTAGGAGACTAATCAATGGCTATGCATGCTCAGCTAAATGGTTTAAGCTAATCTGTCACTGCAGCTCATCTTGTAATATATGGCTGCTCAAAAAAAACCCAGTATTAACCAGGAATTGCATTTTCTTTTCACCCGTCTCTGATATTTCATACTGAAAAGAACAAAACGGTTGGTGATTTGACGCTGTGTGGTGGCAGAAGCTAAAAAACTCACCCTGTAACTAAATATAAAAACTATGTAAACTCTCTCCGTGTATATTAACACTATACAGTCATCTGATAGGCTGAGTTTCCTCCCTGCAACCAAGTCCAGGTTTAACCAGGAGACAATTGCTTGTGTTCTGTACTTCAAGACGGGCTATTCTGGATAGACAGCAGTGAACAGAAAGTTCATTCAAAACTAAAGTTTAGCATGTGTAGGGATCACGCCAGCTCTGAAACCACTAAGCTGTTGGAAGGCACCCACTCTTATTTTCATGTCGGCTGCACACCTGTGAATTATCTGACTGCATCTTGCATTGTGGTGATGCTGTCATGTTACCAAAGACTGACAGATATACAAACACCTTCCAACGTACTCAAAAGTCTCCTTTGTAGCACTTCTTGCTGCTGTACAGGACTCTTGAACTGCATTCTTGGTTTATGATCCACACCCACAGCATCAACACTTATAAAACTAAATGAAGCAATAGATGCTGCTGTTCAGTGCTTCAAAGTTTAACTGGAAATTTTCAGATATTGTACAAATCCACCAGCGATATTATTTATTTATGTATTTAGTATGTTTGAAACACAAACTATAATAGCTTGATTGTCATCCAGGTCTTTGTGTAGTATTAAGTAACATTAAAATGGAATTGAAATATTATAAGAAATACTACAAGGAACAGCTTAATGGCATTCCTCGTGAGTTATTGGAGTTTCTTTTTTCCTCTTGGTTTTCCCAAAAACTTCCATGCAAATACATTTGTGTATTCACACGCCTTCATACAGCACTCGTATATAGTGCAGAGATCACACCACATGTCACCGGACTGCCTTATGAGTGGGTTTTCACACTTGCTGTGTCACTCTCACATTTCTGCTGACTCCTCAGAGATTCCGTCTGGTATCCTGCGACTGAAGTCCGCGCGGCTGATGCATAAGCAGGCACGCTTTGCATGTTGATGTGTTGGTGTGGGGGTTGAATGGGTTTAAAAAAAAAAAAAAAGAAGCCCCAGCCTCCGTCTGTGCATGCTGCTCGGGCCGAGAGAACAATACTCCCATCACAGGAGGACAGATTGTGTGGCAGCTGCATTGTTGAAGGACGGCACGCCAGACACACTTCTTCCCCCCCGACACACACACAAACTCACTCTCGCTCTCTTCCCCTTTGTGCCTCTTTTGTTTTTGTTTTTTTCTGTTTTTTTTTTTTTTTTTTTGCTGGACTAAATTATTCCGGCTCTCTTGTGGCATTCAGGATGAAAAACAGCGGCGGTGCGGCTTAGACGTCGGGGGTCGGGACATTAAGAGGCCCCTGCTTTCCAGTGCTTTAGCGTGCGATCTGAGAAATTCTTCTTTAAACTATAACCATAAATAGGAGCGCATACAGAGTGCAGAAGTAGCTCTTTTGAAGTGATTTGCAAACAACTGGTGAAAACATGTATCTTTTGAAATCAATGTTCAGTCTTGTATGAGGAGCAGCTTCATGAAGTAAACTGAAGTCTTCCAATGCTACCAGACAGTATTTGTTCACCTTGTGTCAGCACATAAAAAAATCAGCATTATTTTGTCCAGAGCAGCATAACAGAGTATTTTTCTTTCACAGAAATCTTTTTTTTTTTTTTGACATCGTACTTTGGTGCATCTTCTTCAAATGTTGTTCTTCAAACTTGTAAATAACATTCCCGTTCACTTCTCACAGATCTCAGGGCAGTTTCATGCACTGGAAGTACCCTCCGTGGGTATTTCCACAGATAAACAACCTTACATGCAAACACAATTGTTGTTATTTGTTTGTGATGTGAACCGTTGTCACTAAAAACTGAAGCAGGCCCACTCTGTCCACATCAGTTACAGGTGGGGTGTTGAAGCAAGTCATCATATGACTGGTTTTCAACTGTCACTTCCTTTTTCTATGCCTCTGTTTGAAGATAAATTTTTTTGTACCTTCTCGAGCAGAGGTACCCTCAAAGAAGGATCTTGGCTCTGTCTGTTTTTTTATGCATGAAGCCAACAAGACTAAACTAGGTTAACGGGTAATTTGTATACAATGCTTTTCCTTCATATATATTCTGCTAGAACAGTGGATGTTCATGTTCAATATGAACCAAACACGAGGCTTCACGCTCTGATTCACAGAATTTTTATCTACTCTTGGATCTGTATGTCAGTGAGAGTGGATATTATATGAAATAGTCATCTCTGGCATGCAGCTTGGGCTGAAGAAGCCCCACCCACCTGGTGTACAAACCTGCTGTTTATGAAGGGCAGGAACTAGGCCCAGCGTAAATAGTAGATTTTATTTTTCTTGGCTGGTTCAGTTGTACAATTTTTGTGATCTGCTGATATAAACAAACAGCATTTTTTAATGTAAAATATTGAACTTTACTGGATATAACTTATTTCCCCCCAAACTTGAGTAAGTTAGAGGGTTTTTTTTCTTGCTTAAATATCTAAAAACTACGTGCAAAAATGAAAGAGTTTTTTTAAACCACCTTTATCCAACATATTTTACCTTACCAAACAGCAGATGCAGCAGATTTACTTAAGAAAACTAATGTCAGGTACTTACACTATTTTTCAGTATCTTTATATATTTATAACTTTTTTCTCTTTTTCACTCATCTCCATAATGTTTCCCTTGCCTCTGTTGCTCATACCGAGGCTGCTAGTAGCTAGCTGGTGGCTTGCTCTGAGCGCTGGACAGCTTTATTTCTTTTTCTTTTTTTTTTCAAATGTTCATGTTTAGCTGGGTGAGGGTGATGTAAGTGTGATTTAAGAATATTAAATATCCAGCACTATCAAATAAAGGTACTATTTTGAACTTTAAAATATGCCAGGCTTATTTAGTATGCTAAATAAAAATATGGAACCAGACATATAGTATTTCTCCCCACACCCTCTAGCAGATCATTACATGAAGGAACCTTTTAAAAACAAGCGCGTCCATGCTCACAGGTGTACACACGGGTGATCACACACACAAACTTCACCCTTTTTGGCTCCTAAAGCACACTGTGCGCTGTCGATATTACGTGCTGCACAATAATGTTTAATATTTAGTATTTACTGTTATATTCCCATAGATCATCGTGATGTTGTTTATTGTATTGCTCTCGTTTTCTTCTGCTTGTTTTCTTTTTTCTTTCTCAACAGGTGATCCAGGTGATTGATATATGTATTTTTTTTGTCTGCTTATTTAGTTGGTTTTTGTTTTTTGCCCTTTATCACCGTCCCTCTTCTCCGCTGTTTTTCTTTCCCTCTTTCTTTCTCCCTTTTCTTTTCCTCATTCAAGTCTGTCCCATATCTAGCAAGTGAAAATAAAAAATAAATAAAATAAAAAATAAAAGGTGAATCAAATAGACCATCGCGGCAAGGCTGGGATGGTCTATTTGGTAAAGTAAATCCGTTGGGCATCTTTCTTTGCCTTTAGACAATAATTCTGACGGCAAAGGAACCAAACGGGACAGGCAAAAAAAAAAAAAAGACATATAGTATTTCTGAGGAAATGAGCAACATTTAAAGTCAACTTAAAATGAGGTTATAGCAACCAAAAGCATCGGTAATTTAGTGGATGTTTTGTGTGAATACACTGGAAGTAAACAAAGACATTTAATTTCTTTTTTTAAAGTGGTCACTGAACAATTTACAGATCACTCTTTGTTTCAGCCAGTCTGTGCACCCCCACACAACCAGCAGGCCACACTCAGAGGCTCTGAGCAGCATTAGGGGTTTCTCTCATTTGCTACCACAGATGGAACTGAGAAACATTCAGGAAGGCCACATAAACACAAACACTGACTGCGGTGTTAGCTGTTGTGTCACTGACTGAATTTCATAAACATTACTTAAGATTTTATTTTGAGGATTTAAATAGAAGTACAGCTTTATGTAATGTGGTTTGTGTCCAACTGTGAGGATTTCTTCTGGGCTTTCGGTGATCAGTAAACTAACTGGAAAACATAAAACATGTACTGTGTTTGTGTTAATGGGCAGTTTGTAATTTTTCTTTGTCATGGTAGCTCACACAGCTGTAACAGTAACGTTTGTTTGTGTCAGAAAGAGCCCTCTTTTTATGATTTTGATAGGACGCCCCACCTAGATAGTGGCCGGAGATTTGAAATAAGTGGAAAATGTTGTGTTTTTTGACTCATGTCACGGCCAGCACCTCCTGCCTCTTAACATTAGCTTTGTCCAGTCAAAATGGATTTAATTTATCATACATATATCCATGTTTTTTTTCATAAATTATTCTTAATTATACTTAATCTCCTGTTGGCTGCTCATGTTTGAAAATTTTGGCTGTACCTTTTCTTGCTGCACGTTTAGATTTTGAATGTGCAAAATGTGCCAAGCAGTTAAAAATGTGTTTGATTCTGTATGACAGCTTATTCTTACATTTACTCTGAGGATACAGATGTGCCAAACAGGGCTGCTAACAATAAAATCATGTTTGTAGTGGGTTTTCTCACTTACTCAATGAGACAGAAAGTTAACACACTCTGTTGAGTTAACACACACTACGTGTCCAATGACTTGCCACAAACTTTGCAGATCTTTGTAATTACTATAACGTCACGTTGTCACGATCATTTCGGTTTCCATTAGTGAATGCAATCACTAAACGCATATGAATGAATTTTGCTCATATTTGTTTTGAAATGATGTATCAAGAAGAAGCGCTTTTCTATGTTTGAGTATTAGGTCAATGCACCACAATATGAGGAGACAAACAATGTCAAGCCCATTTTAGAAGTTACAGCTAGTGCATGCATTGATTAGGTAAGCGGAGAATCTGCCTGTTGGGCAAAAAAGCTTCAAAAAGGCTTTTATTTTATTTTATTTATATTACTGGTGTGAAGCAGCAATGAAGTGTTTCATATGGCAAGATTGTTGTAGTAAGTAATGTATTTCACAAAATAAAACGCATATGTCAATAAGAATAAGAATGCCTGCATACGACAGAGTCAAGTTTTGTACTCTGTATATATAAAATGAGGTGCTTTAAATTGTAAAGTATCAAACTGAAGAATTAAAAATGCCTTAAGTAGAGGGCTGGATATGATTTAACAGTGTTTCTGACAGTGCAGATGAAAATTGCCCGTGCTGCACAGTTATTACGTCTGTGCTGGCTTCCCCTCACTTGCTCGGTACTCGGGTGTTTCGCATTTTGTCCCAGAGCTGTTATTTGTTTGACAACGCAGCTCATCACTGTTAAAATGCAAATCAGTAGAAGTTGGTAAAGATAGTTTTCAGCCTGCATGTTTTAAGCATCATAAAGCATGTACCATCAGCAGGCTTCTCGTTTGAATCTTGCAGTCAGAACTTAATATGCAAATTAGCTATTGGAGCAGAGAGACTCTGTCAAAACGCATCCCAGGGCAGAGGAGGTGTTGCTGCTTTGGGCCCTGCGTTTTTTTTCCTTTTGATGAAGAAGAGGCGTGCTTGAGATGGGAGGAAGAAGCAGAATAAAATACCCTTACAGCTGCTGGGGAGAATTTTTATTATCATTGGGCCATACTTTAGATAAACAGATTTTTTGGTTTTTAATGTTTATGACATTTCAATTGTTTTTTATGTAGAAGTTAATGGAGTACTGACCACGAGTGTTTCTGTATTTGATCATAAATGCAGTGTAGTGCCCTGTGTCCTCATGTGATGGTATCACATGACAAGTGAGTATATACTGAGAATTTAACCAGTACCTTTTTATGTTTTAATTTCCAGGTACCCTCACAGGACTAGTTAGTAAGTGAGTTAAGTATCAGTAGTAACAGTGGGGTCAGTCAGGTGTTTGGGAGGTCACGGAGGTAGTGGAGCTGGATGTATGAGAAGGATTCATGGGCCTGAAGGACCATCTGGAGGATGGGACAGGCCACATCCTCAGTCCAGGGCTGGATCTGGACTACCTACACGTGGAAGGTGCTGAACGGCAGGCTGGGAATTTAGGAGCGGGTGTCACTGTTAAAAGCAGCAATACTGCTGGTAGCAGAGGCATTAGCTCTATCATTCATTCAAGCAGCAGTAGCAGTTGCAGTAACTTTTCTGAAGAGAGTGCTATCTCTGACAGTGAAGATGAAAGGCTCCAGACCGGGTCTGGTTCTGACTCTAAAACACCGCATCACGATCAGCTTCACCTACACCAAAGGGAGGAGTCCTCAGTCTTTCAGCCAGTCAGGCTGGACCTGGCACCAAATACGTCTCCTGGAGACCCCCCGGAAACATCTTTGACTGACCCCATCACACACTGCCGCACGAAGGTGGAGTTCGCTCTCAAACTAGGCTACCCCGAAGAGCTAGTGTTGCTGGTCCTGAGGAAACTAGGCCCTGACGCACTTATCAATGATATACTGGGAGAGCTGGTTAAACTGGGAACCAAAATAGAGATGGATCAGCAAGGAGGTCAAGCTGTCTCACAGTCTCCCTCGTCCTCTTTGTCCTCCACCTCCAACTCCTCTCTGGATTCTTCTCGGCTACTGTGTCCGTCCCACCTGCTACAAGACAAAGAAAACCTGCGACCTGTTGTTGTGGATGGAAGCAATGTAGCGATGAGGTGAGGAGGAGAAGCTTTGGAATATACTTGGGTTTTGTTCCGCTTTCATGTATCTACCTCTTTACCTCACAAAGAGTGTAGCTTTATTACTTTATATTAGCTATTATCTGGCTTAAGAGCCTAACATATATAGCTAAGCTGAAAGCCATATAACACACATTAGAGAAATGCTTATGCAACATGCATTGTTTAGTTTTCTGAATTTTTGTAAATCCAGTTTTTACCAAAACCATTTAAGAAGATATCAGTTTAAAACTATTAATGTTAGTTACATGTTACATCCTATACATGCTGAGACAAGCAGCAAGACCTCGTCATGCAATAGAGGAGACATCGGTGAAAACAGGTGATTTAATCAGATTTACTAAGAAATGAGTTGGAATACAGATGGGTTGCAAAGTGGCTTGCAGTGCTTTATATTGCCAATTCGATGCATAGAAGGGTATCAGCTAATTCTAGCTGAGCTTGAGATTGTGGCCTGTGTGAACTAATGCTATGCCTTTGTAGTTTGTATCACTGGTTTGTAATTAGTTGGATTTACCACCTTAAACCTCAGATGGTTACAATCATTAGTAAAATGCAAAACACATCTTTATCAACAATATCAACCTGAGGATACTCTACATTCAGATGCCTAATTCAAGAGTTTGACTTCTGAGCTTTTTTTTGTGTTACTTGATTATAATTCAAAAAACATAAAAAACCTGCCGTACTGACAGTATGACTATGACAAGCAAACAGGCAAAGTTTAATCTTAGCTGTGTGGCTGATGCTTGCCTTCTGTTTGTGTAGTCATGGGAACAAGGAAGTTTTTTCCTGCCAAGGTATCAAGCTAGCAGTTGATTGGTTCTTGGAGCGAGGCCACCGTGACATCACAGTGTTTGTCCCTGCTTGGAGAAAGGAGCAGTCGCGACCTGATGCTCTTATCACAGGTAAAAATTACAGTCGTTGTCACAGTTGAAAGTCCCAGAATAACAACAGTGTAAAGGGTGCGATTTAATATCCTGCTCTTGGAAGCATTTCCTATTATCCATTAACTCTAGTCTTTCTCTCTATATTTAACTACTGCACCTCTTCTTGTTCAGACCAAGAGATCTTGCGGCGTCTGGAGAAAGAAAAGATCTTGGTTTTCACTCCATCGCGACGCGTTCAGGGACGTCGTGTGGTTTGCTACGATGACAGATTCATCGTCAAACTGGCCTACGAGTCAGATGGTATAATTGTTTCAAACGACAACTACCGTGACTTAGCGAATGAGAAGCCAGAGTGGAGGAAATTTATAGATGAACGCCTGCTGATGTACTCGTTTGTAAATGACAAGTAAGCATATCGCACCAACACAAGAAGCAAACCTTTTGGATTTCCTTTTAACGTCATTGTTTCCCTGCACCTTTGAACATACTAAATAATATGCTGTCTTTGTGTTACTCTAACCAATTTGTTGTTAAAAAAAAGGGGAGAATTTCAACTTATGTCTGTGTTTGAAAGTACTCAATATTTGCATCTAATTTCAGTCTGTTAACTGTATATTTAGATTCATGCCACCTGATGACCCGCTGGGACGCCATGGACCTAGTCTTGAGAATTTCTTGAGAAAGAGGCCTGTTATTCCTGAACATAGAAAGCAGCCATGTCCTTATGGTAATAAAAAAATGTTTAGTTATGTTTCTTATCAAATGCATGCTTATCAGCTATTCTGCAGAAGATGTCTGCTCTTGCATAGTGGAATTAGATAAAGAATTGTATGAGAATAAATGCTTTTTATTCCAGTACAATGACAAAAGAATCTTCATATTTTTTCTTCCATTAGGAAAAAAGTGCACATATGGCCACAAGTGCAAGTTTTATCACCCTGAAAGGGGTAGTCAGCCCCAGCGAGCTGTGGCAGATGAACTCCGTGCCAGTGCCAAAATTTCATCAGTAGCTTCAAGAGGCCTGCTGGAACATGCCCTGATGGCGAAGAGCCAAAAAAATGGTCAATCAGAAGGAATGGCTGAGGCCCTGCTAATTCGGGATACCGGAAAGAAACAGCCAAATCGGAGCCTTCAGAGCTCCTTCAGTGAGCTCTCGGAGGACAAAACTCAGGTCAGTTCCAAAGTGGAGGAACAGAGGAGAAACAGCAGTCTTAGTGGCAGCTGTAGCAATAACATTGTAGGACATCCTGCTCCAGGGGGACCGCCTTCATTGGGACATCTGGAAAGATGGGAACACCCTGCTGGAAGTACTGGATGCAGCTCCGGTATTGCCGGGGCTTCAGGACCAAACAAAGCTGAATCTTATTACAGATGCAGTTCTCCAGTGGTGGGCTACAACTCTGTGGTAAAGGCTTATTCGGGACTCAGTCTTGTAGTGCCACAGACTCCTGAATGCTTCTTTCCAGGTGAGCTCGGCACAAGTTCACTGGCTTCAGATTGTAGCAGTGAAAGCAGTGTCAGCTCAGATTCTTTCTCTCCTGACCCCGTGTTAGATGATAGCCCCAAGTGCCATCACCATCATCCCCACCACCACCATCATCATCACTACTCTGGCCAGTACCCCCACCAGGCAAGCCGTGTTTCTCCTAGTCTGAGCCAGCATTCTCCTCGTGGCTATGTCCATCCTCAAGGACTTTGGAGACAACGTGATTTTGGCATAGAAGATACTCCAGCATCTGTCGCCTCTCGCATTTCGCCACATCGCGTCAACACCGCTTCCGTCTACATCCAACCCCAGAAACAGCTTCAGCTGCTTGCCAATTTTCCAGGGGAACCACCTCATCCACAACATCCACCCCAAACTCCCACTGCTCACGCCCGGTCTCAGAGCTTCCCTCTAGGCCACAATATGGTGGGCTCCCTTTGGCCGGAACATGGGCTTCAGGACAGAGTGTGTGAAGGCTCACCAGTTCATTCTAGAAGAAACTACTCTGTGCGAACCCAACAACCTCAGCACCAGCAGAACTGGGACCCTAATTATGAGCCACCCCCTAAGCCTTACTATGATCTGTTTTCCTATAAGAGTTTTCCACAAGTCCATGGACACTCTCCTTGGGGCCAGCAAGTTCATTCATCACCACATGGCCTTTTAATACCAGGTCTTCCATCGCTTTCACAGCAGTCTCTTCCATCTGTCCCTACCCACAAGAGCCACATGCCCTCAGCAACCCAGCACGCAAAGCCAACTGCCTTGGGTCGATACCAGGACCTTAGGGAGAGGGTGTTTGTTAACTTGTGCGGCATCTTCCCTCCAGATTTGGTGAGGATGGTAATGACCAGGAACCCACATGTGACGGATGCTCAGGAGCTTGCAGCTGCCATTTTAATGGAGAAGTCACAGCACAGCTCTTGAATAAACACAGTGAAGTTTTCATCTTAAAAACTCGTATTTACGGGTATATCCTCTGTAAGCTTAATAAAAAAGTCAGGTTGGGCATACCAAAATCACAAGATACGAGACTCCTTCAGCTGTTAACACGCTGCCTTTTTAATGCTATTATTATACAGGGAAATACCAAAATTGCCATACTTTTTTTCTAGAAATATGTCTGCTACTTCTGAACGTAGCATAGGAAAAGGTAGGGGTGCATTTGCATGTTTCATCTTTTTTGGTTATGAGTCTAAACAGCACTGTATTTAGGGAAGCTTTTAAGGTGTTTCGAGGGTGGCAGTATTGTTGATTTTAAACTTATTTATTTGTTACATTTAAGTTATTTATATAATTTTAAAATTATTTTAGTTTTGTGGCACTTTTTTTTTTTTTTTGCTTTCTTCAGATCATTTCTTTTGGCAATCATATCAGGGTATAATTATAGCCGTTTGCGCTGTTTCTCTGTTTCTGATTTTTTTTTAGTCACTGAGATGACAACATCGGGTATGTAGCTCTAACATTTTCAGCATTAACGTGGCACGCACGTATTTGCCACATTGCAAATACAGCCCGACCATAGTTGACGCTCAAGTAAGCCCAACAAACGGCTTTCTTTCTGTGCTGACAGGTGGCAGATCAGTTGTTGCGAGATTTTGTGGATTTCCCCCAACAAGGAAGTGAAACTTAACCAGCACCCACAAAAGAAGATAGCAAAAACTCCACTTGAAAACCCCAAGCTGTTGTTCACTTTTGAATGAGAGTTATTTCCTCTGTTAGGATAGCCCTGTCAGCTGACTTCACGGTTCATCACGCGCTGTTCCTTTCCATCGCTAAACAATATCATTGTGCTAAATCAGGTTCAAAGTGTGGCAACTGGAAATGTTTATGGGGAACAGAGATTGTTGGTATTGTTTTAATTTAAATGATGTGTTAATTTATTATACTTAATGTGTGTGAGTGTGAGACACGGGGTCTCCTTTATCAGTGGTGGAGGGTTTAATTGCCTCTAATGCTTTGCATACAGTTGTGTTAACTGCACAGATCCACAGTTTGTTTATTTAGTTTATGGGACATTGAATAAAAAAACAAAACAGGCACCGGGTGAAAATCTTAACCTTAAAATCACTGCATCACCACTAAACTACATGGTGGACCGTGGTAGTTTTTTACTTTTCAGGGTTTTTTCTCAGGAGATGTTCATGTTTGGTTTCAAAGTCTGTGGTTCTGTTAAAAAAGACAATAAAAATAGTTTTTAATAACTTCAACTGATCCTGACCATCACAGACCTCCTTAAATGCCAGCAGGGCTCGCATAGTTGATTGTTCAGCTATTTTAGCATAATTTGTCAGTCTAAAATAAGTTATCCTTACTTTTTTAACCATATTTTTTATTTATATATTTATACTCATAATAATTTTGCAGTGCCCAAGGTGACTTCAGTGAATTGCCTGTTTTCTCCCAAAAATCGGGGGGCGGGGGGGATTTAAAATATATTTTTAGTGTTTTAAAATGATTTTTAAGTTGTGTCTTCTTAATGCAGCTTGCTTGGAGCTGTGTGTTTTTGAATGAAATTATGATAATTTATTTTTACTATCTCTGCCAGTGAGGTTATTTTTATTACCTGAGGAACTGTTTGGAAAGCTAACTCTCTCGCCTGGTTAGCTTAATTTCAAGTAGCCCGATGACACCTCTCTTAGTTGATACAAATTGTATCCTATATGGTTAAAATAAACATTGTTTTATATGAAAATGTGAGAACAAGTTTTCAGTTGAATATTTTTATGTGGCAAAATATGTCGCCCGTGGTAGTTCGGCTTTTATGTAAGGGGGATTCTTGTTCCCTGTTTCCGGGTGCAGTAAAGTCTCAAGTGCACTTTTTGGATAGTTGTGTGTATTGTCGGTGAACGGAAAACAAGGTGGAGTCTAGCTCAGAAATGGTGAAACCTCTAACACTGGTTAGCTAGAGGCTAAGTTGGCACACGCTCATAAAACAGTAAAAGTGATCAGGGTTAAAAGTGTTATAACAGAAAGAGCTTGTTAAAGTTGTTTTGTGATGTGATTGGCTGTTATTAAAGTTTCCTAGCATCACACTCCATGGGAGCAGCAAACGCTGTAGCTAGCTTGAATGTTCCAAATGTTTCTTAAACACTTTCCAGAAAATGTATTTCTTTATTTCTGTGGAGCTTTCTAACATCAAAAAACTTTATTCTCAAACCCTGGAGAGTCGTATGCAAGGCATGAACAAATGTGAGTAACAGTCTGTCAGGTTTTTGTTTTGTTTTTTTGTTTTTTTTACATTTTTTCTCTTATCATTACATTGTTATCCGCTATGATGCTAAAGGCTAAGTCTGTGGTAACCCTGCTAGTCTGGCACTATGTGCTAGTGTTTGCTAAATGGGTTAAGACACCCTACAGTATAATTTAACAAACTTCTAAAGTTATTGTGTTTACATTCTGATAAATATTAACAACTTTATTCAGTGTACAAATACATATTTTTCTATTATTACAAACTTTTTAAAAAGGTATTTTTCTAAATGTGTGTATTTTTTTTCTCAAAAAAAAAAAAAAAATCCTAGTAAGTGTGTGTTAAATCATGTCCTGACATCATGCTGTGAATGGATTTCTTCATAGCTGTTGCTTGAAAAAGTGAATTCCGACTGAACATGAAGCAAATTTCTGTCTTGAATTATATACTTAAATTTAAGTATAGCTAATGTGCTGACTACACAGATGTAAATGTTCTTTAGTTAGCAACATACAGGCCACATTTGGAATGACTACAGTTAAATCTCTTCTTTTTTCCATCTTTTGCATATGTCCATTTTAATTCTGTCTCTTTAGCTAGCAGTGATCAAAAAGAAGAACCTGGCTCTCAAGAATCCTGGATTTAAATATGTTGGAGAATTCTGCAACAACTAAGATGGTTCATATCAGGTCATGGGGAAAAGATCTGAAATGATAGACAGTATCAGAGATGGACCTAGCCACCGTGACGTCAAGCATTGAGTAGCAAAACCCCATTGAAAAGCACAAGTGTTTTCTTGCACCGTCTTAGTGTTTTGAATCTGGACTCGACAACTAGCATATCCTGGATTATCATTACTGTAATAAAGTACTTTAAGCTGCCCTGTTATTTCTGAAAGGGTCATCTATATATGACAATCATGGAGACAATTTTACCATCAATTATAGCCATGATTAGTCCCAATTTTGGCACTCTAGGCCTGGTCACACAGTCCTTGGAACTGGTCTGCAACTTCTGGCAACCACAGGTTGTGTGGGAGCAATGAGTAGTCCTTGACCAGTTGGCAAGTAGCTTCTGAAGGAGGATGCAAATGGATTGCTAAAGCCAGGGCATAATAAATATTCCACCACCGGCTGGCAAAAACCTCCTTGCGACTGCTTTGGTTGCTAGCAGGTTGGTGGCAGTAAGCATGGAACACACCAACTTTGGTTGCAGTTTTTCTATGCCATAGGTGGTAGTTAGCATTTTCCCTGCAAACTACAGACGATAGTAGCAATCTGCTGACAACCAAAGCAATAATAGGAGATTTGTATGTGCATAGTGAACTCAGATTTGCCTCCTGTTCAGTCTGAATGCGCTTTATTTGCATTTTGAATTTGCATGTGGGGTTTGTATTAACCGATAACGAGCAACTTGTCATTTGTTGCTCATTTGACTAAAATCATGTGTGTTTGTATTTTATTAGGTGTTTTATCGATAGGAAAAATGTAAAATGCCGACAGTCCCTGTTTATCACAGTTCATTCACATGTTTATCTTTAGTGTGCTTTAATACAGCTTCATTTCTGCTACAGAAATAAGTGCCATCTCTTCAGGGACCACAGCCAAGGAAAAGGCTGTTTGTTGCTCATTTCTCGGGCCAGTGGTGCTTTTATTAAACCAAAATTAAAAAGAAAAGGTGTTAGACCATTGCTGCTGTTTCACTGTATGCTAGGGAATAAAGTGGTTCTTTCTATAATGTGATCCAGGATTATGGTGGGAAATCACAGTATTGATTCATACATAGAGTTAACAAATTAAAAGGAAAACCTAAAAGGAGGGGAGGAGGGAATTTCTGGGTTGCATTTGTCCCCTTCGAGGGAAGCGTCAGTTGTTCTGGGGCGTCATATTTATCCTGTGACAAAACATTTCAGTTCAGATGGCATTGATGAGTTGATCACCTGATTCCAACCCCACCTGCACGTTAAACAATGCTTCCCACCACCATCATCAAAACACTAAATGCGGGAATATCTGATGGAAGAATGAAACTATCCTTCCAGATGAGTGTCAGAGACGTGGAAAATTGACATTGAAGCTGTTTTGTTTGCATTTGGTGGACCAGCGCTGTATGTTGTCACTCATCACTATATTGATTAAGGTGATTAAAATTGTGCTTCACAACAACTTTTTTGATTTTTGGTTTAATGTACAGTACTTTCACTTTTTCGCCCCTGTATGAGTTTAACTTTTTATTCTATAAAACCACCATTGCAGAGTCTGTTTCACCAAACATTTGTTGTGCTCGATTAAGCTTTAGAGATTGAAACCCAAAACAAGAGCACATAAAACAAATGTGACATACCTACAGGATCAGGGAAAATGTGGCTGAACGAGACATGTTGACTGTTCTTGTGAGTGATGTAAAAGTGACCAATAAAAGCCTCACTTAAAGCTTTCACGTCCTGCCTGGTCTGTGTACATGCTGTATTTTGGTATAGTGTGATTTGAAATAAGTCTTTTAATTTTCCTTCGTGAACATTTTTATTTGTATTAAATGTAATGTGCCTACACTGAACCACGGATGCCACAGAAACCTGCATGATCGCTTTTGGATGGACCTTATCACACCGATTTTAGAAGAGTTTTTCTTTTGGGTATTTTGGACACCGCAAGAGAAGTGACATCACTGCTCTACTGCAGTTGTGTTTACTTGCATCACTCTTCCTGTTTTTTGACGATCTATCAGCTGTGGCAGAAAGTAATAAAAAGTGCTGCGAAATGTTTCCATTAAGTTATGAAAAAGAAACTTTCCACTTTGCGACCCCGTGAAAAAATTAAGTGAATTCCATGATTCAGTAGCTGTAAAACCACCTGTGGTAGCGATAACTGATGTTTTCTGTATAAATTTCTGTCATATTGTGGAGGATTTCTTTACAGCTTCAGTCCATTGAGGTTTGCAAACATTAGTTTACTAATTTTTTTTGCCATTCTGTTACAGATTTGTTGGTGTGCGCTGGATCCTTGTCTTGATGACCTAGTTTGACTTCATGATTCATGACTGACTCTGTGCCTGCGAGGTGTTCAGCTTCTGTAGCTGCAAAGCAAACCCAGAATATGACACCTCCACCGTGCTTGACAGCTGGCATGAGGTGTTTATGGTGATATGATATGAACCATATTTGGCTTTCACTTTGCTGGGACATCCACTCATGGGAAGATTATGGTACTGTGTTAAACCACAGCTAAATGCACCACAGCAGCAAACTCCCAACACTTCTGCTTCTATAGAGGTGCTCAGGCCACATCCTGCTGATCACCAATTAATAAGTTTTCTACATGACAGTATGATGCCATGTTGCTTTGAATTCAGTGGCATACATGACACAGCGGCTTTAAGCAGCAAATTTAAATGTTCTTGAGTATTATGGCAACCCTAAATAACTGAAGGTGCAAATCTGAGACTCATTCTGTTTGACGGAAGAGTCAGGACCAAGATCATACCATAGGTGTATTATTGGAAATATAAATTCATTCTTTATTGTGAGACAAAATATATATTGAAACAACTGCCTCAATGGAAAGAGAACACCAAGCAAATCTAGTTTGCTTATCTGCCTGCTAACGGCTCTCTGTGAGCACGCAAGCTGTTAAAGAACAAGTTAACTGCTGAATGTGGCCGACAGCGTCACTGTACCAAAACAAAATGACAGCAGTGAAAGGGAAAGAAATGACACGAGTAAAGCAGTTTAAAAAAAAATTTAAATTGTTCTGCTGAAGACAAAATAAAGGTACAGATTAAAGCGAACTCCCAACATCAATAAGCTATAGCTACAAATGATCATTTTATTTTGTTGAATAAAAGAAACCATTTCGGAACAGTCACGTTTTGTCTAAAGGTTGCGATATTGTTTAATTATCAAACATGCAAGCATTTTAAATTGCTAGTAATGTACAGGGAGACGACGCGTTGCTTGCTATTTGTCCAGATTGATTAAAAGACGTGTGCTTCATCGAGGCGAGGGCAGAGCTCTAAAAAGCAGAAAGCTGAGTATGTGGCTGGCCAGCCGCTGCTAGGCAGAGCTTTGGCGAGGTTGAAGCTACGAAGCCCGCTATCCCATCTTTTTCCGGGGTAGAGAAAAGGTAAGATATCCTGCAGTGGCAGCAGGTTTTGGGCTTTACAAGGAGAGTGAGGCGTTGACATGGCAATGAGACCAAACGGTCTCTTTTCAGTGTTGTGTCCATCCACGTTTCTGGCTCACATGGACTCAAACTCATCTATACGCTGCTTGGTGTTGCCCTGGCGGATCTGCCGTAGGGTTTTGTACTTGTCTCTGCCCGCTTTGACGTTCTCGGCATGTAGCATGTCGTTCTGCGTTTTCTTGGTGTCGTCCCGAGCCTCCGCCAACTCCGAACTCAAAGCCTGGATGGAAGACAAAGGGAGGGAGGTGGTGAGACACAATTCACCTAAGATCGACTCCATCGTTGCTCGAATTAAATATTTGCTTAAATTTCTATCAACTCCTACAGGGAATTTTGGCTTTTGTTTATTCAGTCAAGTTTTAAAGACCAGAAACACAAAGACACATTGTTGTAAAGATCAACAAATGCAGAATTCTGACAGCCATCAGCTTGTGGTTGCTCCCATATCATAATAAGCATGAAAAGCTTTTAACAGCTGCCGTTCAACAGGACATCGGTACAGCTGAGTGATAAAAGAAAACAACCTGCCAGGCTGGCTTATGCTCCACCTGATTTGCAGATAAAAGGCAGTGTTAATGTATTTTCACAGCTGCTCTGGATTCAGACAAACCGCCGCTGTAACCGAAGCTGCAATCAAATCTGTCGTATATTCTAATGTGCAGCA